TGTTTGTGAGCCCCTACGTATACACTTAAGAGATCCTTGATGAAAGCCTACTTACAAGATGAAAACCCTGTATGACCACCATTCCTATTTCACTCGGTGTACATGTTTATGTACGACCTTTCCAACTGTATACAACATGCACTAAGGTGTTCCTGTTCTGATCAATATTCAGTAATCCCTGGCCCTTGATCATGTTTTAGGATACACCTTGATTGTCGGTGCTTCAAACAGGTATAATGGGGAAGACCTGTTACATGGGGACAGGCTACATGCAGAGCTATGTGTACATGTTTGGAACCCAGGACTGATCGATGTACATGCATGCATATCTTCTCCTATCTACTGTGCACCAGTAAAGGGATTATATTATGCTAGCACTATATCACAATGAACATGTGTACAACAATGTAGGTCTATGGGAATCATTTACTTCATAGACCAAGTTGTCTTTGTTCAATGATAAATATCGTAGTTAGCAAAAAAGTATGTGTTTAATTATTTGACCTCCTTTATTATTATAGATATTTTCTCAATTCATTTTATCAAAAATATATAACCTAAGTTAAATTTTCTTGGTAAGGTGTGGTCAATCAAAAATATCTTATGTTGGGTATATTCAATGATAAATATAGTAGTTAGCCAAAAAATATCTGTTTAATTATTTGACTTCCTTCATTATTAGATATTTTCTCAATTCATGTTATCAAAAATGTATAACTTAAGTAAAATGTTCTTGGTAAGGTCTGGTCAATCAAAATTTCTGTAGGTCTATATGTAGTATATAATAAAATCTATGTAGCAAAACTGGAAATGAGTTACTTGTTGGCAACCATGTAGTTCTAGATCTCTCATGATCAGAGTATTAGGACGTCCATATGAAGGTTCTGCGTTTAAATCTCCGTCCAGAACTGCATTTTCTTTTGCTGTTATTTGTTGGGCATCTGATCCCCATTAACCTAATACGCTGATTTTCCAAAGCTATTATATACATGCATGTAAGATCCAGGCACCAGTCCCAAAAACACTAAAAATACACTGTCTTATAAAGGTAATTCCTTGGGTCAAATTAACAGTGTGATCTAATACAATGTAAAGGGCTAGCTGTATATATATCAAAGAACTCCAATCTTCTCACATACATGTATGTACATACAATAAATAATCTATCATCTATATGAATACTTTTCAAGGGTATCAAATTATACTGGTGCCTGTGAAACATTGCTTATTTAATTACTAGGCTCCATAGATCAAAGCTTCCTGAAACTTAACGCATTATCAAAGCTTCCTAAAACTTAACGCATCAGTAAATTGAATTTGTTTTCAAGTAAAACATGTTTCAAATATTTTACATTCACAATTTTAGTGTTTTTCTTATCTTTATAATATCAGTGTAAATTCTTGAAACATGCAACTTTAAATTATGAATTTGATTTTTGGAAAATATTCCATGTGAATTATTTGTAAGCTGAACAGACTTGAACAACTGGGCAGGGTATTTAAATACAGTCTCACATGACAAAAAGGACCCAACAAAGTGGCAATATGTAATTTGTCTACATAATTGTCCTTCCAAACTAAAACATTTCATGGGTCTAGGCTTCAAAGTTCACCTGCAGACAACATGTATTTGCACTCCTTACTTTGGCCCCTGTGTAAATATACCCCTAATACCGGCAAATCTGATAGCTCGTTTACATGGATTTAGAGCACCTACAGATCCCTTTGAATCCAGGTTGGATGGGGTGGGGGTTACAGTAAATAACATTTTGTTTGAGCAATCATATCGACTTCAAAGCCGCGCGGAGATGTACAGGACTGTAGTTAATCGTAAACAAGTACCTTTACTCAACAAATTCAATTCTTACAGAAATTAATAGGAAATCTTACGTAAAGTTTTGTTAGTCACTGTTTAAATGTTCTTGGTCGTGGTCATGTATTAAGGGGGAGAAGTCCCCCTTTTAATGTGAGCAGAACTTTATAAAATTATGAGAAATGTTTTATGCGTACAATCACATTTGTGAAAGGCTTGAACTACTGTAGAGTTGAAATTCTAATTTAAGGATTAATCATTGGTATTGGCTATTAATTAAGACATACGGCAAGCTTTGAATTTGCTGAATTAGATAACAGTAACATTTAGATCAACCTTTAAGCAAAACTTAAACGATGAGTTAAGTTCTACATCATATAAAATAAAGGTTAGTGACATTTATTTCAGTAAATTATTTTAATAACTAAAGAATTTTACAATATTAATGTTATACACAATGTGTATAATCACATATTGATTTCTGAAATATTGTTTTCTTTTTAGACTTGATAAATTTTGATATGTTAATACATACATGTATAGGGAAAAGGACATTTGGAGCTCTGTAAAAATGAGTAACATGGTTGCAATAGGTATATCCATCACATATATCTGCTAGTTTCTGCAGTTCTGTATATTAGATGAAGTAATTATATACAAACATGTACATCCTGCATCAAATTCTTAGCAATTATATATATAGCAATATATCTGCCTCATAAATAATGCATACAAACATTAACTATTACCTTTGAAGTGTGGATTATTTATTCTCGATGGCGAAACCCAACCGTCATCATATTAATTCAAATAGAATTCAGCTGTCATTGACGGCAATACATTTAAATTTAACTTCATCATAGTTAGAGAAAATTACAAATGCATGCACAATTGCGCATGCACATCACATGTGAACATGTACATTATGCACAGAAATTCAAAAGCACTTGAAAGTTTCTCAGTATTTTACATGTTTGTGATCTGGTCAGCATACATAATGGATATATATATGCACACATTTTAATTTCTTCATCTATATTTTGAACACACAACAATGTGATTTTTACACCTGTTTGTGTCATTTTAAATATATATTTATCCATATGGATGACAAGCTCAATGCTCAATATATATGTTATTAAGAATCTATATAATTATAAATGGACATAAACCGAACTTAATGTAAACATTACATAGTATTATTTTAACACAATTACAAAACTAGCCAATTCACAACCATGTTATTCATTATCTTGCTAATAAATTGTTATTGAAATCTTTTGCATAAACTAGTATAAGTAATTGGTTGGATGAAAAAATAAGAAACAGACTTGAATGTACTGCTAATTATTAACTAACAAAATTATAAACCATTACATAAATGTATAGTGTGTGAAATGAGTGTTAGTCCTATGCAATCTATCATACATCTATCAAATATTGTTAGGCTACATGCATGATATTTGACTTGATTAATGGCAAAAATTATACACAATGGGGCTATGATAAAATAATCTCTAGTTTCATAAACTCTACATTAGAAGTTTTGAACAATTACCTTTTATCAACATACAAAGTTATACATATCATTAATATTTAAACTGAAATCTTTCAATTTTATGGTATCTTTTTCATTTGCATTCTTATTCTGATAACTTTTTCCTGAGATGATATGGTAGGCAAAGTTTTTTTGTTTTGTTTTTGTTTTTAATTTACAAGGGATAATATAGTAATTATTCTCAAAGTCTATTTATACAGATGGATAAGAAAGACGCAATTTCAATGTTCTTGTTGAGATTGATTATCAATATTGAAAATTATTTATTCAAGTCTATCATATAAACAGATGAATAAGATAGAATTTCAATTTTCTTGTGGAGATTGATCATCTATCTTAATTACAGACACTCTGAAAACAAATGTGTTCTATATAGTGTTGCTAGAAATAATTAATTTAATCCATGACTAGTCATTCAACATGATCTTACAGTACTATGACTAATCGATTACAATTTTTGTTTGATCAATTATGTCCTATGACATGAAAACTTTCAAATAGTTATTGAGATATGGTCTAAAGCTGGCCTGAAAACTTAAAATGAATATTTTTGCATTAAAACACCACTTCTGCACATAGCTTGCAATAAGCATTTTAAGAATATCCAATGTATTTCCACATTTTGAACACTTTGGATAATTCTTTAGACTTAGTTTCCCTTTCAATTTATGATAATCAATGATCGATCATCATATGTTTGACAAATGGAAACCATCAATCATAAGTTTTGAAGTGTCTTGGGTTTATCAACTAAATATTCACAATCCTAATTTCATACAGTTACACAGATGTCCCAAATGTCCCTTCAGGAAATAAGCACATCAAATTCAGATTTAACATATTTATATTTCATCTGAAAAGAATCCTTGATCTCAATGGTATTAATAAAAATATGCAAATGTACATGTCAGGTTCTATGATAATGCAAAAAATTGACATTTATACAATAACTTACAGTTTGGCATCAGCGAGCGAAGTTATAAGATATTAAAAGGTGAATATTGGTTGGAGAAAAGTGAAAAATAATTGATATTAAACAATTTATAGACATGCAGCTGTCTTCTTAAAATATAAAGACAGAACAATTATTATGTATGCATTGTCTTGTTCGGTTAGCTGTCACTATACTTTCTAACAACTGTTTCTTTACTTTTTTTCACCTGTGTTTTTCATGAAAACTAATTATAAGCAAGGACCACAATCAGGATTAACCATTTGGTTTTCTTTTTGACAAACTGACCAAAAAACTTAGTGGCTAAAAACAGCGATGGGAGATAGACATAAACATGCTTCTGATTATTACTTAATTTTGTGGACCACATATTGAAATACATATTTCTTTTTCTTCTTGGTTGACAATCAATATGAAAACATTTTTCGTAAAGTACATGGAAAATAATTCATTATGCAAAATACGCATTCGACATTTACTTACGTAGCTAAGATTGTTATTTTTTTGTTATCTTTGTTAGTACCTTAAGGAATATCATAAAAAGAAATCACGCTAGAAAGAAAGAGTGTACAGAAGTTGGAATTCGGAGGAGGTAATGTTTGGGGTCGTTGTTTGTGTATTGTACACAACGCACACCGAATACACAGCGATATTTTCAGTGTTTTTTTTACACTTACCTGCATATCAGTCACACCGATTTCTTGGTTCGTGATCCATCGTAACTGCATTGATATTTTAACTGCCTCGTTGGCGATATCAATGCCACCCAGAATTTTTGGGGAGACATTTTCTTGTCGCGTGTCTGTGAAATATTCGTCGTCAAATAGTTTGGCTAACTTTTCATCTTGTTCGCCGATATTGTGCAAACTTAATTTTTCCTGAGTTCGATCAGTAACATCTCGTACCCTTTTTGCATTACTTGCACAACTTAAACGAATTAACAACACTACACATAATAATCTTAAAAGTTGCATAAATACCCCGATATTATTGTAATTCAGGGTCGCCATGTTGGAAATGGCCTTTCCGACCTTTTCATCAAAACATGACGGTGATCGAAATATAACATGCTTTCACAAATTATCTATTACAATCCAAATTCCATCCGCTACGTCATTTTTAGACTGTTATGTTCCAATCGCATATGTTATAAATCCAGATACAAAAAAATAACTCTTCAGAAAGTAAATCCTTATCCACTGTTACACTGTAGTACTGTCATCGTAGTAGACTTGCATGCTAATAAGGAGAGCTAGAAGCAAAGCGATAGTTTCGTATCGTCAATTTTTTTCATTTTTTTCTGTGTAGGTGCGCGCGCATCATTCATACGAAACAAGTAATTGATTTTTTCTTGCTTTATTTTCAAGATGTCAGCGCCCTTGTTCCGAAGCTTTTGCAGACGGTGCTTGCGTAATTTTTCAAAAACTGCTAAATTAAGGAATGACAGCAATGGTCTGAACTTACAACGAGTTTTTAAGTTAAATTTATCTCAACGACAGTTCCACAAAACAACAGGTGACTTTGATTCAGTCAAAATGTGTATATTGTCCTTGTAAAATGAGAGGTCACATAGAAAGGTGGTGGCGGGGTGGGAACTGGAATCCAATGTTAGGTGACGGAGAAATTTGGGACTAACTGTTAACTTACACGTCCCAATTGTGTTTCTGTTCTTCTCCTGAAACAATCCTGACATTCGTTTCTCAGGTATAGTTTTGGTCACTGAAACAAGTACCTATTGATGGAGGAGACAAGACAATCTGTTTCAGTGCTGTATCTGTTTCTGTGCCTTGATCATTTGCACCTCACATTGCTAGTTTGTTGACATCGTCATGGATTTTTTTTAGTTGTAAAGGTAACACTTGGTTTACATAATAAAGAAAGATATGGCGAAAACAAGTAAATTCAAACTTTGTACATTTAAAAAGAGTATTTTTACTATTACATTCTAATTGGATATTAAGACAGAATGCTAGACGCCTCGGCACTTGGTGAAGTTGGCACTTGGATACCTCGGCACTTATATTTTCGGCACTTGGTTAACTCGGCACTTTTTGAAGACAAGTCGGTACTTATTTTTTTCTAGTTTGATGTTTAAGTTGCAATTGAATCTGAAATTGGTATTTTGTGTCGTCGTATCCACAATTTGTGGTGATATGTATTCAAAATAAGTATAAAGGAGAGTAACTCGTTGAAAATAGTTTTCTAAGTATATCGTGACGTATATCTAACATGAACATTAAATAGTTTTCTAAGTATATCGTGACGTATATACATGACCATTAAATAAAGTTTTCTAAGTATATCGTGACATATATATAACATGAACATTAAATAAAGTTTTCTAAGTATATCGTGCCGTATATATATGAACATTAGATACAGTTTTCTAAGTATATCAACCCGTCACGTGGGCATTACCTACAACTAACTATTAACGGCACGTGGTCATTACCAATTCCCCCTACAACTATCTATCAATGGCACATGGTCATTACCAATCCCCCCTACAGCTATCTATCAATGGCACGTGGTCATTACCAATCCCCACTACAACTATCTATCAATGGCACGTGGTCATTACCCACAACTAACTATCAACGGCACGTGGTCATTATATTACCTATATTAACTATTTAGTTATCATCCTTAATCATCTGACAAAGTATTTCTACAGCTAGTGCTAATAATATACTGATTTTCAAGGAGTAAATAAAACTTTTCAAAAAGCTGGCAAAAATATTAAAAACAAATACATGCATGTAAACTTTCTTTTAAATGACATCATATTGAATAGTTTAATAATGGAGCATGTACTGAAAGATAATTGCAGTTATAATTTTTAACCTGATCATAATTTTACAAATTTTAGAATAACGAAAGTTTTAAATTGGTATACATAACCATTTACAAAGAATACGATAAGACGAATACCGATAACACTACTACAATATATCCTTCCAGTACAAGTTCCATATAATTAGACTTAATTAATTCAGTTACTTACCAGACTTGCATATTCGGCTCAATTAAGTGTAATACTTCAGTTTACAGGCACCTTATTTATATCCTGCGATATTCTTTCATTTTTAGCTCACCTGGCACGAAGTGCCAAGTGAGCTTATGCTGTGGCGCGGCGTCCGTCGTCCGTCCGTCCGTCCGTCCGTCCTCGTCCGTCAACTTTTCCTTTAAACAACTTCTTCTGAAGAACGGACAGGCCTAGAGTCATGATATTTGGCTGAAAGCTTTGTTGGTAGGAGCCCTACAAAGTTTGAGAACGAAAATGACCTTGACCTGTTTTCAAGGTCACAGGGGTCAAATATGTCAAAAACTTCAAACGACTTCTTCTAAAGAACTAAAAGGTATAGAATCTTCATATTTGGCTGATGGCTTCCTGGGAT